AACTTTGGATAAGTATGTTTGGGAATAGGTGGGCGCAGACCCTAGAAACAAGTTAATAAAGAGTGGCTAGAGTTCAGTTCTGACAGAAAAGATGATTTTCCGGAGACTCAAGAAAACTTATGCTTCATGTAGAAGGAAGATAATTAAAAGTCAAATAACCATAGAAGGAAGATAATTAAAAGTCAAATAACCAGACTACATTTTAGACTAAGATGCTTTACCTTTTGCACCACTCCAACTGCCGCTTGTAAAGGAGTTAAGTACTCATATGGAAGCTGGAAGGAAAATATTAGAAAGTTCAACAAGAAGCAAAGCCAAAAAAAAAAACAAAAAAAACTATTCTCAACATTTTGAGACAAAACATACCTTTCCCGTCAGCAATTCCCACAAAACAACCCCAAAACTGAAAACATCCGCCTTATGATCATAGGTTTTATGTTCTATGACCTTCGAAAAGAACAAATGTTCATTAGCAAAATACTTTGTTAAGACATGTACCCTTGAGAATTGCCAAGATGAATATGTAAATAATGTAGAAATGTCTCACTACAACTCGAAAGTAAAAGGATGGCACCAATTGCAACTCAATAATCACTAAGAAGTTCAAAATTGTAGCATTTCTTGTCAACAGTATTTCAATAATGTAGACTATAATCATAAATACACTAGAGAGCACTTAAGATTCATATTTCAACAATGTTGAAATGCAGCACAAAACCAACACGACAAATTATAATCTCCATATGCAACATTATCATGCAAAAAAAGACAGGGTACTTTAACATAAAGTAAAGCGCGCGCAGAGAGAGAGAGAGAGAAGCTAGTATGGAATCCCCTCCCTCATCCCAAAAAGAAAAAGAAGAAGGGTGAACGAAGAAAAATGAAAGGAAAATTAGTTGCAGCTGAAATCAAGAGAACCCCAAAAAAATTTGCCATAACCATGTCATGCAAACAATCATCATGTTCCCATCAAACAAATTGAAACGGAAAGACTTCATCATCTGAAAAACAAATTATAAGTATACTTTGTCTACCTCAGGAGCCATCCACCGATATGTCCCAGTTTCAGCAGTCATCACACCAGTTTGTGCTTTCACTCTGGCCACCCCAAAATCAGCCACTTTAACAACCTGAAATAAAGCATCAGTAGAGCTACAAAAATTTCTGAAGACTTCACCAAACTCGATAATGCGCACGATCCATTTAAAATGAAAATAGCATGGAAACTTAATTGCCAGACTACATGAAAAGAAATAAAAGAAACCAAATGATATCATATTAAATTCTATACACAAAATTAATAGCACGACAATTTGGACTTCAATTTTCAAAGTTAGAAAGGAGGAAATCTAAGTACGAGTTAATATAGTGTACGTTTGGTAGTACTTTAAATGTTATAATGCTATGGGTTCTTCAAAATTATGGAATATAAAGTACAAGTTGATGTAGAGCATGTTTGGTAGTGCTTTTAAGTGCTTATAAACCGTGGACCTTCGAAATAGTTTGGTTTTCCATGTGGATGAATCTGCACCTTAAAAAATCAGCAACCATGTGTGAAGTTACAGAATATTGGCAGTATAACAACAATTCAAACATTTGAAGCACTTAATCATCGAGTCATACTTCATTTTCATCCATCAAAAGATTGGCAGCCTTCAAGTCCCTGTGTATTATATTATTCTGATGCAAATAGTTCATTCCCTTTGATACGTCAATTGCTACTTTGAGTAAAGATTGAAGCCCAAAGGTACACTTTCGCTTGTGTAAATAGTCATAAACACTTCCTCCAGACATAAATTCTGCAATAAAAGAAACGGCATGAAAGCTGAGCTGGAATGTCAATAAAATAAAATAATTCCAAGTTTCAATTTCTTAATCACAAAATCATTGTCTAATATCGAATTTTCCCAGGATACAGGTACTGTTGAGACATACCTGTGACTATGCACAAGTTCAAGGGTTTGGTGCACGCCCCTATGAACTGGACAACATTTTTGTGCCGAACTTTTCTGTAAGTATGAAATATAAATCAATCAAAGGAAAGAAAGATCCTCCAAGAGGTGAATTAAATTCAGAGATATCGCTAATACGCTAATTTCAACAAAAAATACTTCAACATTAATAAAATTTGGCAAAAATAGCAAAACACGCACAGACACTAGTCTGCAGCGAAAGTTCATGTGCACAAGCAATCGGATATACACACTGACTCGTACAAACATTCACCATACATGTGAACGGATGTGGGCATGCATGCACTAAATTGGAAGTAAATATAGCTTTTCAAATGAGAAAAATTGCATAGATTTAGGGGAATACATAACAAGTTACAGAAACAGCACTCAGCAAACAAAAATGTCTTGCATGTATTAGCTTTCTATATCTCAACAGCTTCTCAGCTTTTGTAAAAAAGGTAAACCAATTTTTTACAGTAAACCACTCAGAAAATGGACTTGGGATAGGATAACTAATTTATGTCTCAGCATCCAATGACTCCACAATTATAATGTTATAAACCTCATTATATATACTTCTTGGGCAAACTCCTCCCGCAGTTCGGTATTCAAACGCTCTGCCTTGAGAATTTTGATTGCTACTACCTGGCCAGAGTATGTACCTTTGTATCTGAGACAATAATATTTCAAGTAAATTGAATAGTCACTGCTAGCATAAATTTTGGTTCTTGATTTGTCAAAACTTACAAATCGCCATATGACCCCGATGCAACTTTGTGGTCAAATTTCTGAAGTTTAGGATCAATTTCCCAGACATCAGTACCATCATTGGGTATTCTCAAATGATCGGGTTCACATTTGATTTCTACTTTTTCATGATCACAGAGTGGAGATAGAGAATGCTGATGCGGCCAAGAGTGTTTCTGCAAAAAAACAGAACATGTGGAAGTCATTTCAATAAAAGTAAATTTATAACATGCATAGATAGAATAACAAGTAGGTTTATTTAAGCATTAGTCACAGTAAATTTAACCTTGCAGGATATCTAAACCATGCTCATGAAACTACATAATAATTTCTCATCAATCACATTTAGTTAAACGCATGGGATAAGTACCTCAAGCTTTGAAACTTCTTTATCCACTGCAGCCCGAAGTTGCCCAACCTCTTGAAAAGACAACAGAATTAAAGCATCAGTCAAAGTTCTTTAGATTGTAATGGGACTTTTAAATTGTGTGATGATGTCATTGTAGGAGAAAAAATTGTCGCATGAACTTTGCGGAAAAAATAAAACTTATCGATCGAGACTCGTAACAACACGATGTCCTAAAGTGAAATTGTCAGATGTAAACTACCGTAACCTCTTTAAACAATACTACTAGAATATAGTGATCAAATTACTTGTGCCGCAATCACAAGCGATTTTCAGAACTTTCAATAATACTCCAAAATAATATCTAGAAATAACACAATAATATTAATAGGTGTGCCCTCAACTAAGATTTTGATGAATTTTAAAAGATTATAAACCCTAATCAATTTTGTGAATTTGAATGGATTTCCACAAATTCCATAAGAATATCATCAAATAGGGTGAAATTTCAAAGGATTCGGTTATATGAATTTTTAGGTTTGAAATCCATCCAAAATTTTTAAAATCTTTATAAATCCATTAATTATTGAGGACGCTTAAATATTAGCCTAAATATTAAATAATTTCATTGAATTTCATTAAAATCTCAATTGAGAACACCTATTTTTTTTTAAAATCCATCACAATCTCAATTGAGGATACCCTCCTAAAAGCGAGTTTCTAAGAAGTTATAGAGCTTGCAAAATGATTTTAGTGTATTTTTTCAAAGGGCATAACCTGTATATATAGCTAAAAAAATTTCATAACTTCCACCACAAAAAGTTAATTCAATTATAAAAAAATTGTAATTTTTATGCATTTCTTATGATTTCAATTAACCATCGAGTAACCATCTAACTATCATATTTTACTGGCTAGTTTGACTAAAAATAAACTTGAAAATGATTAAAATAATAATAAATTTTTTTATTTAATCGAAAAAGCCCATAAGCCCAAGGCATTCATTGACTTTTTAATATTCGCATGAACCAAAGTGCTGCAATTGCTCAAGACAAATCTTTCAATTGAGGACCAAAACAAGATCATTTCGTTCAATTTGTAGTGTGATTCGAACAGCTGACCTTCCAAATTCCACAGTCATATTTCTTTTATCTTTACTAATTATGAGAATTACAGATAATGCGAGAAAAAAAGGTCTAAAACTGTTGTGAAACAAACTACCGGATTAAGATGTTGAAGTTATATGACAAATAATAATAAAGTATATGATCAAACAAAAGAATAATAAAGACAAGAATATGACAGAGGAATTAAGAGATTTTATTGATCCAAGAATAATGGAGAAGAGAGAAAAATTACAATAGATCCTAAAATTCTAGTAATCTATTTTCTCACATTATAAAATTGTATAGAGAAATCTAGTATTTATAGGGAATAAGAAGGGGATGTCCAAACCCACATAGTAGAGTTGTTGATGGAGTACGATACCATAAAATTGNAGGAATTAAGAGATTTTATTGATCCAAGAATAATGGAGAAGAGAGAAAAATTACAATAGATCCTAAAATTCTAGTAATCTATTTTCTCACACTTATAAAATTGTATAGAAGAGCCAGTATTTATAGGAAATATGTAGGGGACGTCCAAACCCTATTGATAGAGTTGTTGATGAAGTAGAATGCCAAAAAATCGAGTCCAAAACGAAGTAGGAGAAGAAAAAGCTAAAATCGGAATAAAACAGAACAGGTGGCGAAGCGAAGCCCATGCCGGCACTGCGGCGCCTGGCAATCTGCCATTTTTTTTAAAATTGTTTTCTCCATCCAAGTTCTTCTTCAAGTCCAATACTAATTTTCAACTCCCAATGAGCATCCAAAATAGAATTTC